GGAAACGTCCTATAGACGTATTGCAGATGAGCAAACACTCTAAAAATGTAGACGTGATGTCTCCGTGATGCATGTATATTTTCCTGTGCAATAACAGTAAAAATGTTCAAAAACTGTTTACACAAAAATTAATAATCATAACCCACCTTGTGAAATATTCACCTGAGTAAAAAGTGTGACAACTAGCCCCGGTCTTATAGTTAATATGCATATGTAAGCAACACCAACAATAACTTTTGCTGTGGTACTATGGTATTGTTTTAAATACAATGTGAATGCTGTATCAAATGTAGCAATCATTCAGTGCGGTGGCATATACAGTATATTCATTGCACCATCTATCTTCAAGCAATTTTCTCAAATTGTTGCATATTCTTGCAAGGCATTATAAACAGAATAGAGTGTTTTAGATTCACATCTCATACAGTGGGCTGTTTGTGTTTGGCACCAAGCAGCAATTTTCTCAAATTGTTGCATATTCTTGCAAGGCATTATAAACAGAATAGTGTTTTAGATTCACATCTCATACAGTGGGCTGTTTGTGTTTGGCACCAAGGGCCTTGAATTCTAATCGCGCACGTGCCTCGCATATAAAGAGACAAAACATCACGAGGGCTTCACGAGCTCTCACACACAATCTTTACGGGTTGGCAGTTCTTAATATTGAACAAACGTTACCATTCCAGTGGCTAAATATCACGCGGCAAGTGTTGAAGTAGCCCGATTCCGCGGGAAAACCACGGCAACACTGTTTATGAGCTTGATTCTCCTCCAGCGCTCACGTGGGGTTTCCATGGCAACTGCTGAATCCTCAAGCGGGCGCGGCTCTTCATTCCCGCGCTGGTCAGCTGATGGCGCGAAGCTGAGCTGAGCAACAAAACGGCACCAAAAAGTACCTCAGAAGCCGAAAACGGATTTTCAAGAAGTAAAACGTCTTCCTATATTTTAAATGATAAATGTTTATGATGTAAGCCAGGTTTCTACATAACTTTCCACAGGTTTTAGTCTCTTTCCCAAACATAAAGTTGCTGTTTTCGGACGTGAAGAAGGAAACAAACAAGACTGCTGTCGATTGACAAGGTACTTGATTCACACGCCATTTTTATATGAGTACTACTTCATCTATCGTTTGCTTAATTGTTACAGAGTTGAGCACATTTGGTCCTTATTTAGGGTGGACGCCATATTACACTTGATTTATACACGTACGGTACGTATATTATGCTATACATTGTCTTACGATCTTATCACGAAATATGAACGTAGTATTTTTCAGGGTTTGACACCCAGATACACCAAAGTATCAACAATTTAATGGACTGTACACCTATTCTCATACCCTAACTGGTGATACATTAAATATGGCGTTCATACACAGATACAATCAAGAATTTGCTGAATACGAAATTGTCAACACAATTTCTTTTCTCGAATCATTAGCGAGGCACAACTAGGCCCCAAAAGCAGGTAAAAGACAGCCCTCTGCTGGCCAAAGCTTGGTAATACAATTCCTGTTATTGATTTGGGTCAGTTGGAGGCAAGTTGAGATTGATTTATTTGGTAAAATAAGTGTGGATAAAGAAAACGAGAAATGAAACATTTTCTCAGGTCTTCTACTCTGAATTAATCAAAACTAAATCAATTAAATCTGTATGTAGGTGTGTGTGAAAATATTCAGATGTAACCCCCTTTGTAATCGTTAACATTTTCATAAGTAACTAATTTAATTACGCATTTTTTCTCAGTAACTGTAACTGATTACAGTTACATTTATTTTGTATTTAAATTATGTAATTGTGTTACATGTAACTAGTTACTCCCCAACACTGGTCAAAATTTAATATATTTGATATAATCAAAGTATTCCGTTTATATTGTCATAAAACAAACAAAAACCCAACAAATTATACATATTTAATTCTGAATTAGTATTGCCATCCCATTCAAACCTTGAAAAACCTCCCACTGGCCTGATTTACATCACCTTTTTGTTTTTTTCCATTTCTGATCAGAAAATAGTTTTTAATTATAATACACATGCCGCTCATTCAGACAGATAAGACACGGATTAACAGGAGTGATTGTCTCATAAAAAGATTTATTTTCTGCCTAAATGTACAAAGGCAAGTTACAGTATTGTATAAAAAAATGTAGCAATTTACACTTTACATGAGAGATCCCTAGGAAGAGAGAGCGGGACAGAGGCAGCGAGACAGTGAGGAAGGCGGGGAAAGAGAGTGATGGTTTACAAAGAGAAATATATCGAAACACAGAAATGAAGAGGTGTAAACATCTTTCTTTCAAGTACCGACGACACTGAGCCGCTGCTCTCTATGGGCTTGGGGTGGGCGGGGCTTAATTAGTGGGAGGAGCCTAATAAGAACAGAAAACAAAATAAAACCAAAAAAGCAACTTCCCTCCTCTCTTCCCACATGGATCGCACAGGGCAGGCTATATTAGCACCGTCTGAGACAAATATAAACGAATGTTTGAACTTAAAACCGGCTGTTTCATCTTTCTACAAGCAGAAAACTTGAACTAGAAAAAAACAACAAAAGAAGAACCCTCGAAAATAAATTAAAACAATCAAGCGCTTTTTCCTCAACAGTTATGAATCAAGTCACCAGACAGCACAGGTTTACTGGCTAAACGCGCAAAGACAGAACAACTAAAAGTGAGGTTATTACTATATATAAAAACCCTAACTCTGTTGACGCTGATCTGAGACCAGTGCTGCGATATCGATTAGTTACTGCTTAGGGTTTAGTTAGAGAAATCTGGTCCTAAATCAGCATAAAATGTGTACCGTTTTCCATCTCCACTGAGAGGATAAAATAACAATTCTTAAAGAGATCTGGCCCGGGTCTCTCCTACAACAAAATAAAACTAATGCATTGTGCCATTAAACCTCATTATTTAAAATCAGATTAGGGGTTTTTGGTGGCATTGAAATTAATGCTCAGTTATAAATTTAAGGAGCCAAAAACCCATCTTGCAGACTTGCTGTTTTTGTTTTACTAGTCATCTCACGACGGAGATGAAAAACAAACTGTCATGTTTAACATGTGGGAAAAGCCACCTCTTCACTACAAACAAATTACGTTAAGTAATGTCCTCTTCCCTGTGCCGTTCAATAATCAAGTTTGAATACAGCCGAGAGCGATGAACATGCCAGGATGACTTAAAATGCTCAGATTTCAATAATGCTCTCCTGAGAGTTTCACATTCACACAATAACTGCATGACGATGGACTGGAAAAACTAGCACTGGACTCGGGTTTTCACTTAGTTTTCTTCTGATATATGAACGCACCATTGCTTATGTGTTTTGCGGGGGGGGGGTGTTGACTAAAAATCCTGACGTCATATTAAAATTGACTTTCAGTGAACGCAAAAGATGTGCTTCTAAACCATTTCAAAGCAGAGTGGGACTAACTAGACATTGAAGAGGAGGGGTAGAAGTAGTAAAAAAGCAAAAAAACACTTCCAATATAAAGCCGTTATACCAGCTAAACGTTGATATGTCAACAACGGTAAAAAAAAAAAGGCTAACAGACAAAAAAAAAAAAAAAAAAAAAGGAAGAGAAAGAGACAGAGTAAGAAAATCCGATGGCATCCAACAACCTTTTTTTAAAATAATTCCTCTGTACAATATATACAGAAAGCACATAGTGAGGGAGAAAAGGGCGAACGCCTGCTTGTCGCATTGCTCTCTGTTTGGATTAATGCTTTTACCGAGTGCTGGATTATACCATGCAGACAGACGTAAAGAAAAAAGTGTGGGAATGTTTATCCAGGTCTTCCTTGTTTCATGCTCCGCGAGTCTGTGGATCGGACGACCGACCCAAAGTAGAAGTCGTCTAGAAGCTGGATGCTGGCTCTAAGCCTCTTTTGGGGTTATCTTACTCGGATAGCTCTAAGCCTTCAAGGTTTGCTCCATTTTGGACTTCACTTATGCAGTCTGGTATGAGATTCACAAGCAGCAATGTATCCATGTGTGAAGGTTCAGTTCGTGACCAGACAACACAGTTCAGTAGAGTCTGGTAACTCCATTGGCAAACACACACATCGTGTCCCAAACGACTATCTAGAGCCTGGGAGAAGCAGATAGCCTTGTCTCCGCACATTATAACGGTCAATACAGGCCAGAAAAATCCGTAAATCCAGTCTGGAAGTCAAAGTTCCTGCCTTTTGGGGCACTCCATGTCAAAGTGCAGCCAATGCTTCATCTTCTATCCACAACACGGAAAATGATCCAAAATGTCAGAAGGCCTCAGGTCACTGTTGAACCGACCAATGCGAAGCAAATTGAAGCAGTTGCACTGCAAAGCGACCAATGCTAAGTTAATGGAGTGACTTCAAGCAATTTGTTCATCATCCATAAACATAAATATGAACATTAAAGACGGAGAAGCGCGTTGAAAAATGCCTCTTGGACAAAGAACTGTCTACTCTCAAGTATGTTGACGATAGCTTCGCAATGGTAACATGAACGTGAATTTACTGCCCTGAATGAACTGAGTGAAGAAAACCAAGCCTTATCCACTTGCATAATCCACAAATAGATTGTAAGTGTATGAAGATGAAGAGCGGCAACCAAGATGCTGGAATCCTTCAGGGAAAAAAACAAAACATCAACAACCTTGGTAATCCTCATGGCTCTAGAGCAGCAGTTTGCCCAGGCTTTGAACACAATGTAGTGACTGACTTCCAGAATGTCTTTGCATCCAGGTTCATTCAAGATCTCCCAAACTCTGTTGGTCCATGTTTTTCTGAGAGCTTGCGCATCATATGACGTCTCTGCAGACAGATTGTGTCTCCTCTCTCCTGAGTATGTAGCCAGCAGCACAGAGAGGGAGGTGTACAGATGTGCGCTTCCCGAGGTGGAGTTTGGCGTGAACGTAGAAACCTCAGCATCCACTGTCTCCTCTCTGACGGTGTTGGTCAAAGACGCCGGGAAGTCAGGGAAAAACAACCGTAAAGAAATCAGGGACATCACTGAACTGATGTCATAAGCTCCACATCACATCCTCATGTGAACCAGTCACATGTCTGCAGAAAAACAGCCAGTCACTTCTCCCTAGAATGGGAATGAGAATAAAACGGATTAATATTTTCATGTCATAATGTATTTTCCAATATGATAACTTATGTAAACAGTAGACAAATGTAAGTATATGTTGCATTAAAAGTGACTAAACAGCTATTGTAGTCAGTATGAAAAGGCCTTGGGAATTTTTAAAATCAGAAATAAGAGATTTTGACCACTAGAGGACAGCAAAGACTGTACAGCACTTAATTCCAGGGAGTCAAAGAGAATCAGTCACAATATATCAGTATTATTTTGTTTGCAATATAAAATTAACTTAGTGTTGTGACTATTGTGATGATTTTAATATGCTTTTTATTGGCCATTAAGTTTATAAAGACCATGGGAGTAGCCTAGTTATACATCCACTTCTTGTGCCAGGGCTTGTGTGTGTAAGAAACATATTTTTATAGCAGCAAAAATTAGGCGTTAGGAGGTTCAGTTCATTTCTGCAGCTCAGTTCTTTTAAACTGCCTAGTTTAAACAATAAACACACTGAACGATTCACCTAAATGTATGTGGATGCCCCCCCAGAGCATTTGCATGCTTTAAAATACTTTAGGGAAAATATACATATGGTAAATATGGTCGTTTATCACTATGCATGGCCCATAAAACAAAACAAAACATCCAAATGTAATTCTTTAAGTTTAATGAACGTGAAAAATTCAAGATTTTTCATGATTGTTTGATTATCTTGATTTAAATTTTTTTTTTACTACAGTTTGCTTTAAATATTTTGAATCTACCAAGCAACAATGGCTTTTTGGCAAAATAATGGTTCCTCTGCTAAAACACCTTTTAAACCATTTCAGGGCAAATACAAAAACACTAAGATATTTAAAAGGGGTGGAAAATACTGTATATATAGCTATATTGCCCAATCCTACAATGTATGAAGTAAAATCTTTGTGCTTGTAGATAAAGATGAACCATCTTACCATTCTCACCTCCGTGCTGGGGGGTAAAGTGAGGGGGCAGAGGCTTGTTGACTGGCAACAATGGCTGAAGAGGAGATACCTGTGAGATGGAGAAACACCTTACTTTTTAAAACAGGAATTCAGTCATGGACAAGACTGGTTTCTGTCCTAACACATGAAAAGAAACATGTCTACACTGACTTTACAGAACATCCCTTTACTTCAACCTAGACTAAGCTATTTTTATTGCTTACCTGTAGCATAAGATAGGTCGTACTGTCCTGGGAGTAGTGAATAGCCTAAGTGATGGTGGGAAGGCATGATCCTCTGAGAGGGCGAAGATCTCGGACGTTCACCATCTCTTTCCCGCTCACTCCCACTTCTGTCTCTTTCATGGGGTGTCTTTTCACCCACCGATGGCGATTTGCTCTTGTATTGGCTAGCATGCTGATGCAGGATATCAAGAGCTTTAGACTCAGATGCAGACTTGCCACTCACTGTAGGACTGGCATGAGCTTTTTCACCCTCCTCTCCAGGTGGCATCCTATTGCCATATGGAGAAAAAGAGTACCCTGGTGACAGGTACGACCCTAGGAATGGGGTGAAATTAATAGTGACCCTTTATATATCAGCATCCTAGTTAAAGGTAAAAATAAATGCTTCCTAAAGTGGTGTAAAACAAAAGTATCAACATAAAAGCTAGTTCAAAATAGTTAGATCCACAATGGACTTACCGGGGTAATTCTGCATCATGACAGTAGGCATCCCCCTGTATCCCGGATGGCTGGGGTCATAACCCTGGCCGTAGGGGTATCCGTGCATGTAAGACATATATGACTGATGCTGCGGCAGATGTGAGGAAAACTGCATATGAGCTCGTGGATCTTTGCCTATGACTCTATGCTCCTCTGAGGCCGATGAAGTTCGTGGTTCTGCCCCTTCCTTGCATTCCTCTCTAGAGGGAGTGTCTTTAGAACGCTGCCTTTCGTCTTTGCCTTTCCGGTCTCTCTCACGGTCTCTGCCCCGATCTCTGTCCCTTTCTCGTTCACGATCCCGCTCTCTCTCTTCCTTCCACCTCTCCTCATCAATCTGTTTCTGAGCATCGGGGTACTTGCTGGGGTAAACGTAGGGCCACAGGCGAGAGTCTGGCTCCTGAAAAATAAAGTGGAGTTTGAAATACCCATTATGAAAGATTCAAGATTCAACAACTGTATTGTAGAAAGAAACAAGAAGAATGTTTAAGCAATGCTTGAGGCATATTAAGTTCAATACCTGTCTGTACATGTACATTGCCTGCTCCATAGCCGATCTCCCAGACTCATGGCCTGGTTTCTGCTCATCCTTCGCATGATGCCCAGCTTCACTTAGCTTCATTTTCAACCCCTCACTTTGATGGGTCTGTCCCTTGCCATCTTCTCCTTTGGGGATAATGACTGACTTGCCAGGCTCCGAGGGATCTTTGAGCTTGCCCTGTGGGGACGGTTTGCCCAAGTCTGAGAGACTTGGCGCTTTAGACAAGGTAGGAGGAACCGAAGCTTTCTGCTTCCATTCTTCTGACTTCATGGATGCTTCCCTATCCTTCTGAGCAGCCTCTGATTTCTTCTCTGCGGCACGATGCTGCTCAGCTGCTTGCCGCTGTCGGTCCTCACACTGCTGCCTGTAAGCTGGGTTTGTGTTCATCAGGTGGTTATGGTAGGCCTGATCAGGTGAATAGCCATAGGGAGGAACATAAGCATACTGATTGTAATAGAGGGGCTGCATGAACATGCTAGAACGTTGCTGAATGACTGAAGGCTGCTGTGGCTGTTGAGAGGATGCACCTATGTCTGGCTTTCGATCTTCAGGTGGCTCTGATTTGCTCTTGTCATTCCCTGGTTCTGGGTCTTCCTCTTTTTTCACCTTCACTGCACCATCTTGCAATGATGTGACAGTGTTAGAGACTCCTGGACTGGGGTTTGGGTTGCCATAATTGGGCGAGTAGTATGTTTCATAGCCTGGGTAATAAGAAGAGTCTTTGTTTGGTGGTTGGGATGGGAACAGGGATTTCTTGGCACCTTCCCGACCTGCCTGATCTTCAGACTTGACCTTCACACCTTCCACTTTGCCCTCTCCATCTTCCCCTGCATCAGAGATGTCGGAGTATGCTGGGCTGTTGGTCTTCACAGAAGAGTTATCTGCCCCATTTTGGGTAACTACATGAAGTGGAGTGAGAGGTTGTGCCATCCCCCCACTTTCTATCCGACTGGCCACACCAATAGAAGGACTGGGAGAATTGTCCGAAAAGCTGTAGATTTTGTCTGCCTCTGCTTTCATGCTGGCTAGCCGACTTTGATGTGGATCTGTGGATCCATTTAACAGCCCCTCACTCTTGCTGCCTTGGTCTGAGCTCTCAGAATATGGGCTCTTGCCTCCTTCAGGTTTCCCTCCTTTCCCAGGGGCTTTTGGACTGTCTCCTTCCTTACTGCCCTCCTTCTTTTTCTTATCTTTCTTTTTCTTGTCCTTAGAGCTGCCCAAGGCTGGGTTCAATGAGGGATCTCCCATTACTGCAGGTTTGGTTTGAATAGTTTTTATTTGGGGACTCTTGCTAATGGACTGGACCACAGAGCCTATACTGGAGGAGGAGCCAGAATTGGGGGCAGGGAAGCCAGAGGTTGGTAAGGCGTACAACTGCTGTGGAGGTAAAGAAGGAACCAGGGGCCTTGCTGACTTTATTGCCTTCTGAGCGAGCTTGTCTGCCTTGGTACCACTGCCAGACTTCTTAGCTTTGTCCAAGCCTCTTTTATCATCAATGCCATCATTGCTTGTCTCATCTGTAAGACATGGGCCATCTTCACCACCATCCATGGGCACACCAGAATCATGCTCAGCCTCTGGTTTCTTTTTACCAGGCTGCTTGGAGCTGAACTTTCCTGATGATGGTGATGGGCTCTGGGCATCAAATCCTCTGCCTTTCGGGGTTACTGACCGTGCAGGAGATGCACAGCCCTTCTGAGAAATGGATGCACCATTGCAACTGCCTGGCTCAGGGTGCAAAGTGGAGTCCTCACCATACTCACTATCACCATCTATGTCCAGCTTGATGTCATCATCATTGTGTGCACGAGCCTGGTGATACTTCAGGCCGTTAATGTGCTTGTACTTCTTGTTGCAGTTGGGATGGGGGCAGTCAATGAGCACCGGTGAGGGGCAGCTGCGATCCAAAGAGGGAGGCAAGGATTCAGCTTTGATGTTGGAGAGGGGAAGAATAGTATGAGGTATTCCGCTGTTTGAATTGGTGCACATACGTTTGCTACCCTTAGTGTCCTCTGAACTGGAATTGGGCTCCATGTCTGAGGCAGGTTTGTTCTTGCGTTTGTTAGCAGATGAAGGACTAGCTTTTACATCCTCAGTGTTGCTATTTGGTGGGGTGCGCCGCTCAGAGGAATTCTGACTGCCCCGTCGCCCTTTGCTGTTGGATGCGGCTCGAGTCTTGCTGTTGTTGCTGCCTTTGTTATCAGAGGAGTTGCTGTTCTCATTGACTGGTGTATTGCTATTGGGCCTCATTCTTTTACCCCGTCCACGGCCATTTCTCATCTCCAGGTCACTTGTGGGTGATTCACAGAACCTGAGGAAGCAGAAGGAAAAAAAATTAAATTCAATATGAAAAAGAAATCTTCCATTGACATTGCATTCAGAATCATCAATCAAAAAAATAAGCGCCGTCCACTTTCTGCCTAAAACTCTCACAATTATCTGCAAACCACAAAGGGTGCTAACAGTGCTGCAGATTTTCTCATGGATGAGAGATGGCCTCTCTTCTAAATCAGCCTCTCCATTTGGATTCTATAAGTGCTTCTCCATTGGGCCCTGGAGAGCCAGCAACGTGCTGCGCGTTTTTATCCTCTTGTTATCCCTGATCTCGACAGCAACGCTTGTTCTGATGAATTGCATGCAGTGCCACACTGCTGCAGGATTAAGCCAGAGTGACCTGGCTGCTGATTAGATGCAGTGTGATAACATCCTCCAACAGATTAGGCACAGAATCAGAGGCAAGTGCAACCAGAGAGCTCGATCAAAGCACAGGCATTAAACCGTAGTAAAACCAAGCAGTTAACCCCCTGGGGTCGACAGTTCCGCCGGCGGAACTTTTTGCAGATTTGAATGTTGACAGCAAAAAGAACTAAAATGCTCCTTCATACTTGATCGTACATATAAGAGTAATACAGCATTTAAATCTGTAAAGGGTCTACTTTTATTTGTGTACACTCACAATATCAACAAAACATTGTGCTTTTGCAAAATAAAGAAAATAAACAGGGTATGCTTTTAGCCGTCTCATTCTCCGCGCATATCTGTTTGAAACGCGTCACTAAAATGAACTGAAACTCAGCGAATATTTGACACACACACATGACAGATATATCTATAGAAATCTTAACATGTCTACTTTTAAACGAAGTAAGTCATGACGAAAACAAATATTATGTGACAAAGTAATCAGTATGAAACCAACGCGATGTCAAGTCTTGGCCGTCGCCCTCATTATCGCTAATGTGACCACGCCCACGCGCCGATCGAGCTTTTGATATTATAATAGTCCACGTGAAACACGCGCATGTAAACGCCCACATCACAGCAAACAAAGCAGAGAGACTTTTCCTCAAGTTCATCTCGGCTACTTCGCTTCTGGAAGAAGACGCGCTGAGAGGAATAAGCTTTGGATTTTCCTCAGAAGAACGCGCCGGCATGATATTCAGTGGAGGATATAGTCAGTCTTTTTTTATTTGCCTACTTGAATTAGTTGCTATTGTGTTACTGTGACATAACCTGTACATATTTTACTAGTTACTTTTTCCAAACCATGATTCCTGACTAAATGTATAATCAAGTGAAACATCCTGCACAAGAACCTGGACCACAGCTAAGACCATGTGATGCACGCACTCCCATTAGTTATTTTATGTGATAGTTATATGTATTCTAAATTAACTACAAACAAAAAATATATACATTTCTTTTTTCCTCACATTCTTTCTTGTAGCAATTCCCTCTCAGTCACGCACCTGACTGAAAGGCTCATTATGCAGCTCATTATGCAGGCCTTTGTCTTCTCAGGTGTGAATCACAGCATTATTCATGATCATTCACGCCTACTCGCATATACCTTTTCTACACAAAAAGTGTCTTAGAAAATTTAAATCAATATATTGTTTTCTGTGAATGAGTAAGATGATTTTCACATAATTTTGAAGCAAAAACTCTAGACTTCAAGATCAGTTCTCAAAAGTCTTGTGATCAAATGTTCTGTATGTGTTTTATGGCCTCATTTCAGTGACTTTAAAATTGTAGTTTTTCACTAAGCACGCATAAATGTTGTTTTCTCAAAAACACAATCACGTACATACATGCTGCTCACATATTATTGTAGCGCAGTTTGTGCTGATTACAGTGTTATTAAACTTTAGACATTCAAATGTTTGTAAGCATCTGAAAAAAGCACAAATGTCAGGGCATGTCAAAACTTTTCCAGGCCCCAAAACACCCTCGGACCCCAGAGGGTTAAGGAAGCTTCCTCAAGGCCCCCAGTCCTCAGAACAGAACTGAGATTTCTAGCACCAGCAGAATGACAAGATGATATATATCATAGGCTGATATGTAATGTTAAGAGATTTTTAACAGGGACAAAAAACCTGTCTGTCAAACAGGAATGTGCATTTTCATCAACTGAGGAGATTTCCTGGGGGTTAGAAGGAACTAGATATGGTTTGTTTTTCAATTGTTGGTTATACAACAATTTAATGACATGTTGCTGTTTTATCAAAGTCTCAATGCATGATTTTCAGATGGTGCATCAAGTCACTGTGTACAGTTTTGCAAGTGGTCACTCCCTCCCCCCTCTAACTAACTGGACCACAAGTTAACACCCAAATCATCACTGTCACTTCCGAGTACTCGAGATGTCCATCGTAAGAGTCAGATCTGTCAATGGAGGCTTCTGCATTGGTGATAGTTAAAAGTAAAAAAAAAAAAAATACAGGAATGACTTTTCCATTCATCTTTAATTGCTTTAACCTGTTCCAGGGACTACATGTGACTCAAAGTAGCTCTGACTGGAAAGCAAACATACGGAAGAAACTCTCTTATATGAATGCACTGCATCATCTTCACCGGTACTCTCCCCAGGGGCTAATGCTGTGTTAGTAATGTTTGCCTGAAGCCTCCTGCAGCCAGCAGATAAAGTGCACCATGGAAATACAGCCTTTTCTGGAACATTACGATTAGAAATTACAAGATACCTCCTGAGGCCGAGTCTCTTAAATGTACACGGCTTTATGCACAGCAAATTGTTTGTGCCATGCAGTGCTGGTATCTGACCTTGGGCAGGATACAGCATGAAAAATAAACATAGCTAAGTGTTGGAGTGTCTGTACTGTAAAAAAATATTTGCAAGGTCAAAAAGATGCCTCCTTCAAACCTGAAAACACAGTTATTGTCTCAAGCTATTGTGTCAGGCAAGACATTCATGGCATTGGGACCCAGCAGAATCGTAACTAAAATGCTGGTCTGTGAGGGACTGCTGCTGCTTTAGATCGATGCAAGGAGGAGAAAAGAAAAAGGGGGGCTGGGAGAAATCAATTCCTTCACGATGTTGCATTTCAAAAAGTGGGTGTCAGCAGGGGGGCGTTTTGAGACATTACCCTCCAATGTTTCCTTCATTACTGCAATGGCAGCACAGAAAAGCCCAGAGGAGATGATGAGAGGGTCTATCAGGAGTATGTAGCAGGCAGAATTTATTGTTTCAAAAAAATGTCTTTACACTGAATTTATTTGGCAAAACTGTGTCACATTCTAATAGGGACTGGTTTCATAGCAAACTGAACATATGCATTTGTAAATTAGGTTGAATTTACCCTGCAAACAGTACAGGCTTACCGTGGGGGCGCCCAGTCATGTCGAGTGCAGTCTAAAAGTGTGCCCACATACGTCTTGTTCCTCCAGGTAACATTTACAACCAGCATACCTGCAAAAAAAACCAAACATTAATATAAGAAATAAGACTTCAACTACTGAAACACATATAACAAAGTCTCAAGTGATGGTTTCTTTTACTGGAGCTGAACGAATGCATCTTTTAGCAAACTGCAATCATCTGTTAAACAGATCAACAATAAGGACAAGACAAAACTACAGCCGAGATCATCTCAAGTCAAAGATCTTATTGGGGATCTTTTACCCAGACTAGGTTTGCATGCAATGCCAATGTGCACAATTTAAGCATTAGTTCTTGATCTACACGAGTGAGAGTTGGCAAAAAAGATAAATGAGTGCTTGTTGGCACAAGTATACTGCCGATTTTACATTCCTCAGCACAGATGTCCAAATCTAGAACACCTCCTGTATAAAGACGACAGGAACAGCAGGGTGCACAAAAAGCTGTTAGTATGCAGGGAATGTAAAGGATAGAGAGAGGTAAAGAAAGGGTGGTGGGGAACACTAGTCAGCCCATGTCCTTCATCTGACATTTCTGCAGTATGCAGGGACTCTATATATGTTTTGTGTTTGTTTTGGATTGGAATCAGTCCAAAAAGCTTCATCCACATCCAGGATTCCCAGATCTGTCAACTTCAATCTCAGCTTCCTGCAGGTTGTGTGCCATCTGCTTTACATTTAGCACAACAAAATGTGCAGAGTGCCAAAAGAGTGACAGGAAATTAGTCTACACTTACAGAACCTCATTTGTTAACACCAGGTGGCAGCAGCTATCATTTTTTAAAAGATGTAGTATCAGGAAACATCAAAGACCCCTGGAAGACCCAACTCCTCAGCCACCCACAATGCACACACACAACAATCAAGCAACTGACCTTCCCAAACGCCGCACAAAATTGATCTATGGTGCTTTTGAGTACAGTCTCCGTAACCTCTCATTATGACTGACAAAGCACATGAGATATCTGTTTGATTTCAAGCTGCAAGGCGCTATTCTCAATGGGGCATCAATTGCCTGCTTCTAAAACAGCTTATCAAGAGGTGCCAGGCAATAAAAATTTCACACTACAGTCGACTGCAAAGGGAGACAAAAACCTTCCATGTGTTTAGTTCTGCCTTTCACGCTGCGTTTCCTTGACAACTGGCAACTGTGAGCAGCCACTGCAACGGCGCTCATTCCATCTCAATGACACAAGTGGGGAAATTGAGCAGAATACTCGAATCATGTCTCCAAATGGGAAATGTCGATAATTGGCCTTTTGTACAAGACTGAAAAAAATACCACTACATCTGCTAACAATTAGCATGACATCAGCTGTTGTTTGAATGGCAATCGTTACCACTGAAACTGGACCCAGGACCACCAACGGTGGTGCAAGGTGAATTGCAAAGTTAACCAATCTTCCAATTCAGTGTCATTCTCTGAAACGTATAATACTATTTCTAATGTCACGCAGCGCAAGGACTTAATTCCAGCACCCTATAAAAAGGAAGCTGTAATTGTAACCCTGTCTGATTCTTTCGGTTTCAAAGCCTCATTAAAACAGACTCAAACAACCCAATACAGTACAGGCTGGGAAACAGGTGTTTACTCACTTCCAGAAATAATAAAGAGTATTATGACACAGGTGTGCCACACAGCCAAAGGGAAAACACTGCGACGTACAGAGAATATGTATGTGTGTAGCTCACCTTCCTTGCCAGTGACCTCTACGTGTCAGCAAGTCTCTTGACGAAACCTGAGCACTAGACGTCAGCTTTGAAGCGACATTTGCACCCTTGTACCGGAGACCTTTACAGCAGACTACTTTAGTTTTTATAAGCAAAGAGAGAGTGCAGCCACCCGCTCACACAATGTCTGCTATATAACTGCAGGTGTGGCTGCAAATTCTCCCGCATGGCTCATATTTCCACAGTAGGTGCTTAATTCTGTAAATGGAAGCCCTGACCTGTTCAGACCGACAGCCTCCTAATGTTTACCAAACACAAACGGTCTTCAAAGCAAACATAGAATGTTCCCTTAATGTTAGCGTTTGGTTCCTGTTTGGTCATTTTTCTGAGAACCAAAAAGTGTTTTAAGAAATTTCTCTTTAGGTTTTTTTTTTCTTAAACATAAACGTTTTCAATGTTGCAGGATGGTTTTTGTGTGACAACCCAATAAGAACCTATTTTTAGGTTTTATTTTTATAACCAAAACTAAGGTTCTAAGATTTTGCAGGAATGTGTCTAGTGACAACCTAATGAAAACTCATAGAATGTTCTCTATAGGTTAGGTTTTTTTTTTTTAATAACTTAAGAATTTGACATTCCCAGAATGTTCTGAGAACCAAAACTCTGCATGCTACACCACGAAAACGAAGCCTTTAACAAACAAGAAATGCCTTAAAACAAACAAGAAATATGAAACGCAATCTAGTCTTAAACCAACAATCCCTCACTTCACAGTGCTATGAACATAGCATAGTAAAAACCTCCCCACACCCCATGTCTTCATTCATCTGTTATTAGTCACAGATAACCTGTAAATCATCTTGGCGTTCTCACAGGTTTGGTCGCAGACAGATTAAGACAGCGCTCCTAATTGTGAAGATTAAGGCAAGTGAGGCACTGAGAACTGGGGGTTGGAGGGCTGTTTGAACCGGCTACAAACAATGAGACATAAAACCCAACCTTGTTTCCATCTGCTCATGAAGCAGCCGTTTATTCACTCTTGAAAGCCGCCCAATCATTAACCAAGCTGTAACTCTCTCCCTCTCTCTGGGGAAGGGAGCCTCAGGCAGTTGGTTCCACTTATCTGGTGAATTCTTTCAACGTTACACATTTCCCTCCTCTCTATGCCAGTTAAATCTTATTCAGTTCTGCAAAGGGTTATTTGCACAGATCGACAAACAAAAATACATATCCTAATGCCGCTTGGTTTGCAACAAACCACAGCTCTAAGCAGAGCACTCGCTCCAAATCACGCTGAGCTAAATCAGACTCTTTGAGCTGATTCGACGTGACAGATTCACTGCAGCCATCAACATGTTAAAGCGCCATGTCCATTGTTTGTTGATTTTGCAAGAGCTTGCCCAAACTTTCACTGTACGCCCCTTAACCCGGTGAAATTTTGAAAGGACGAATCATTGCGAGTCTGTGGATCACGGAAAACGTGACGGCGAACAAGCTGAAAGCACTTGCTTCATTGTGCTCGCCTTGGCTGTTTTTCCCACTCGCTGTGCGGGGCTCTCAATGGCTGTTTTGCATACCTCTGTGTTGCCTAGCTGCCAAGAGAAGCAAATTGGTGTGCCAGACAAGTCCAAACTAAGACTGCAGGCTCATTTTCGGGGCTAAGAGAAGAGCTTGCTGTCTCACAGAGTTAAGAAATAAACACTAAAAAGCCCTGAATGATTGACGCTAGTCAACTGAGGGCTCTTGTTTGTTTGGTTTCACTTTTGTTTGAAGGGCAGGTAGCACTTTAACATAATACCACAAGCTACATTACATGAAACTGACATTGGGAAACCGATAGCTTAAAAAGACTGGATGTCGACGTGCTAAAAAAGACCCCTTATACCACACCCAAAGAATACCAAGATCAAATTGATGGAAAAAAGCATGCCTTGAAGAGAAAAAAAAACAATAAACAAACATGCTGAATTCAGTGACTGAGGCTAAGAGTACTCTCTTTGGGTTAGTCTATAATAGAACCTTGGCAGTGACTGGAATAATGAAAGCCTGATCCCACCACCCCTTCACCCAAAGAACAGTGCACTTGTCATCTTATATCCCGTTTCCACACAGTGCCCTTGTCTCCGAGCAATAAAGGGGTCATCGCCATTGCTTAAGGCCCCTTAGTTCAACCTTCCCCCAATAGCCCCATCAAAGAGTATCCTATTGGCAACAAAGAACTGACAATCCCAAAAGAGAAAAGGGGGGAAGTATAGGGGCCCTCACCGCCTGGGTCACCAGTCTAATTTCTCCCGCAAAGAGTTTCATTAATGGGCAAGCATGGTCCCCATAATCTGCCCCAGTGTCCCGCTGGGTGTGGGGAGGGGGCAAGACTGCAGGTCCACCGGCATTGACCCAGCACCTCCTTTCCCATTCTCTTTTAACTCGTCATTCCCCGTAGCCCCTCTTTTCACTGTCTGAAGGTCAAATGGATCGAAAGTGGGTGGAAAAGGGCATCAGTGTGACCAGGTGAGACAAAGGCAGGCTAACAAGTCACTCATGAGAGCTCAAGCTCACGGAGTATCCGTATTCAAGGGTGTTTCAGAAGTTACTGTGCCTGATTAATTTGGGATTAGCCCCATTTTTGGACACAGGGGCAAAGACAGAGAGCAGAAGCAAGAGGTTGTTAAACAAATAGGATATAGAATATAGAGACAGAAGAATATAATGCACACAACAGCTAAATTAAACATATATACTAGAAAAGATTGTGTCCACAATAAAGAAAAGTTTATTCAGTGAATTCAATTAAATGACTCAAGTGGTGTACAAATCACAATAAATAAAAAAACATTTTTACACCATGAATGACATGTGTACACATCTTTATTACTTTTTCTTTCTTTCTTTTTGGAGTCACATCACGAGATAACACGAAATTTAAGAAGTAAAAAATGCCCATCATACACCTTGTATGAACTGCATTTTTATGTATTTTGATTAAATAATCAATAGGACAAATAAATATAAATATGTGTGTGCGCGTTATTTTCGATATTCATATGAAATGATCATCAAACCACTTAAGAAATATATAATAAAGGAAATCCTGAATCGAAAATAAGCTCATGCTAATAAAAGACAAACACAAATTTTCCTGTTTGACATCTGTTTTTGCACGAGACTAGTGCAGTCATCTTAAAAAGAACTGAGAACCGAATTGGTTGTCAAAGACCTGATTTTTTTTATGAGGTTGTGATACTTTGACATGTTTGCTCGGGTGGCTGCCTCTACTGATTATCTGGGTCACATGACCGAGGTGAGCAGGTCTCCTGAGAGAGGAGAAGGGAGGGACGTGAAGGGGCCCTTCTTTTGTAACAT